CTTCAAGGTTGATGTGTAAAGATGGAAGAAAGCCAAGGGGTCACTGTGTTTGTGATGGAGACAGCTAGCTGTTGGCAAAGATCCCTTCTCTCTTCACGCAGACTCAGCTGTGGCTGGGCAATAGCTGCCCCTCACTAGAGCTCCATATCCAGCCTCCTTTGCAACACACCAGATCCAGAATAGTTGTCCAGTGGGCAGAAGTTAAGCATGCTACTTCTGAGCCAAGGCAGTCAGGGCACAAGTGTGCACCGTCATACCCTCCCATCTACCATCAGTGATGATGTGTGGTGGGGCACTGGGGCTGTGAGCTGGGTTGGCTGAATCGTGAGGCAGAGGACCCTTCACTTGGAAATATCCGCCTTAAGTCAGCTACTCAAATGAGGATTGCATGAGCTTACAAGGCCAGCCTGGGCAACATGGTGAGACCCATAAAAATGGCTTTTAAAAGGTCACAGAGAAAGACAGCAACCAAAAAATAAAAAGAACTTCCTGCCTTGTAGTATCTGTCTGTCCTGTTTGGGCCATTAAGGATGACTGGGACTATTTGTTACTTCTGCTCACACATCTGATACAGGTCAAACCTCCTCGAACAGGTGATACGATTACAGCTGGAGACTGGGAACGCCTTGCCTACGATCACACGAGTCCAATAGAGGTGTGGACGTGTCTCTTGAGGCCCCCCACCCCTGCACCCTGCAGAGCTGAGAGGCTGCTTAGAGTTTCTTCAGCAACAAGAGGAAGTTTGTACCTTCTGTTTAAGACACGATTTTTTGTCTATTTTCAGACTGCACCTTCCCATCTACTTTTCTTTGACAAAAGGACTCTGCAAATATATAACTTCAAAGGCCCCACCCCAGGGAACCAGTGGGAGCCAGCACGCTGTGGTCTCAGGAGACAAAGTTTCACTTCTCAGGGCAGCCTCCTGGCCTCAGTTGCTGACACAGAACATGTGGCTCCACAGAAGTTTTGGATATTTGCTTAGAAAGGAAAAAGGATCCTCAATGCACAGACAGTGAAGAAATAGAAAACCGAACAGAGGGCAGAGCAGAAAAAGATACTCCAGGCTCTGGTCAGTCATTCTTAAGTTTGAGGCGCACCAAGCTTCTGGGGACCCAGTTTGGCCTGCAGACACCTGAGGCTCACCCTCAGAAACCCTGATTCACAAACACTAAAGCTTTAAGAAACACCCATGAGTACTGGGGAGATGGCTCAGTGGGTAAAAGTGCTTGCTCTGCATGAGGACCTGAGTTCAAATCCCCAGCACCCACATGAAAAGCCAGACATGACTGTACATGTCTGTAACCCCAACACTGGAGGACAGAAACAGGTGGATTCTGGGAGCTCACTGGTCAGCCAGTCTAGCTGAAACAGTCAACTCTTGTTTCAGTGAGAGATCCTGTCTCAAGACAGTAAAAAGAAGACACCAGACACCCCATTCCAGCCTCTGCAACTGTGTGCATGGGTATATGCACCTACATACTCTGTGCACACATCACATCATGCACGCACGCACACACAGACACACACACACACACACATACACAGTTCATATTAGCCTCCACATGGTTCAGATGGATGTCACAGGCAAAGGCAGAATGTTAGCATACAAATGACATGCACCTACATACTCTGTGCACACATCACATCACGCACGCACGCACACACAGACACACAGACACACAGACACACACACACACACACATACACAATTCATATTAGCCTCCGCATGGTTCAGATGGATGTCACAGGCAAAGGCAGAATGTTAGCATACAAATGACCATGGAAATAAGAGCAAATATTCAGAGCTTATGGCCTAATACTCTGCTAAGCACTGCCGGGAATCAATTCATTTCTCCCATTTCACTCAGTCATTAGGCATCAGGCTAGCTCAAACTGACCTCTGTAGCCTCAGTGCCCTGTGGAGTCTGTGAATGTCTAACATTAGATCTCCTTCCAGACCCTAGCTTTCTAATCTGCAAACCAGGAGTGTTACTAAAACCTTCATCACAGGGTCATGTTGAAGAGTTCAGAAAACCACTTTAATGAAGTGGTTTGCAAGCAGTAAGGCATTCATAAGTAAACATCTAAGAGACAGGACTGCAGTCTACTGCCCCAGCCCATTCTGCAGATAGTGAAACTGAGGCCCAGTTGTTCCATTCATCCAATAGGCACTATTCTGTGTGTAACCTCTGGTGCAGAGAATGAAGGACCCAGAGGGAGTAATATTGAACTGCAGCCTCAGGGAAACCCCAGGCTGTCAGGAGACAGAAGAGATGAATGGCAAGACAGCATGGCAGGATCTATGGTAGGGTACGGGCCCAGGAAGAGCTTAAAGGACAGGCAGGGACTTCTAGGAAAGGTCAAGCCAGGGAGGGGCCCAAGTCAAGTTCATCAACTCCTCAAAGTGTTAGGGGAGTCCACAGACACCTCTGGGCTCCCAAGTGCCTGAGTGTTTAAGTTTAAGCCAAACCTTTCAGAAGAGAATGGCAAGCCAGCCCCCTTCCCACAGGCGGAGCCAGGCACTGTCCACGGCACCAAAGTGTAGAGGAGCTGGTCCTTCCCTTGACAGAAGCAGGAACCGCAGACAGATCCGCTTGGGAAGGGGGGTGGGTATCAAAGGGAAGTTGGGGCTTTCTTAACTGAGAGCAAACACAAGACCTCCTCAGCCACTTCCTCCCCTTTTGACCTCAGACCTGAGACCCGCCCTCTCCAAGCCACACATATCCAACCATCAAACATCTATCAAGTTGCAGCTCCTGAGTTGCTATAAAGGGTGTTTGTTTGTACATGGCTCCCTCGTTGTATATGCATTAGAATGAAGTTGAGGGAGTATGATGTTTTTAGCAGAGAGCATAGCCAAAAGCTCCTATCCACCATATGCAAAGAACTCTTAAATATCAATAAGAAAGCATAAATATGGGGGCAGGCAGTTTAATCAGAGATAAGTAAACCACAGACCAATAATCAGCATTAATAAAGAGATGCAGGGCTGGGAAGATTCCACAAGTAAGAGCACTTGCTCTGCAAGCACGAGGACCTGAGTTTGGGTCTCCAGAACCCATACGAAAAGCCAGATATGGTGGTACATGCTTGAAATACCAGTGCCTGAGTGGAGGCAGAAGATCCATGGGGCTGGCTAGCCAGGCAGCCTAGCCTAGTCAGTGAGCCCTGGGTCCCAATGAGGCTGTCTCAAAAGATAAAAAATAAAAACGATACACATGAAAACCTGTAGATGGGAGACTACGCCTCTCACAGGAAGGGGTGCTCGGAGGCCAGCCACACGTGGGTGAGGCTGAGACTATGAGGCCCCAATATCATACCACAGGGCAAGCAGGCAGGCAGAAACTGACAGGGCCAGACAGCTCCAGTGTCTTAAACAGGCCTCAAGGGGCTGAAGAGATGGCTCAATGGTCAAGAGCACTTGCTCTTGTACAGGACCTGACTTCGGTCTTCAGCACCCCTGGTGGGCAGCTCACAACTGTAGCTCCAGTTCCAAGGCATCTGATGCCTGTGGCGTCCACAGATACCTGCACATCTGTCCACATATCCCCTGGTTCCCAAATACACATTACATAAGTGAAAATAAATCTTTTTAAAAGATAGCCTTCATTTGAAAAAAGAAGGTGGTAAGGTGTCCTAGTTACTCTTCTGCTGCTGTGATAAACACCTTGACCAAAAGTAACTTGGGGAAGAAACAGTCTATTTCATTTTATACACCCAAGTGACAGTCCATCACTGAGGGAAGCCAAGGCAGGAACTTAAGCAGGGCAGAAGCCCAGAAGCAGGAACTGAAGCAGAGACCACGGAGGAACGCTGCTTACTGGCTTGCTCCCCTGGCCTGTTCTATTCTAGGCCTGCTTTCTTTCTTTTTCTTCCTTCCTTCTTTCCTTCCTTCCTTCCTTCTTTCTTTCCTTCCTTCCTTCCTTCCTTCCTTCCTTCCTTCCTTCCTTCCTTCCTTCCTGTAATCTTTATGAGACAGGGTCTCTCTGTAGTCACAATGGGCCTGGAACTCACTATGGAGACCAGGCTGGTCTTACAGAGATCTGCCAGCCTCTGCCTCCCAAGCCCTGGGATTAAAGGTGTGCGCCACCACACCCAACTCTAGGCCTGCTTTCTTGTACAACCGAGGACCACCTGCCCAGGGGTGGCACCACCCACAAGGGACTGAGCCCTCCCACATCACAACAATTAAGTACATGCCTCACAGAAATGCCTACAGGCCAATCCAATAGAGGAAATTCCCCATTTGAGGTTCCCTCTTCCCAGGTGTGTTAAGTTGATAATGGAAGCTAACCCTGACATGAGGGTGTAGGGAGTTGACTCAGTGAGTAAGAGTGCAAGCATAAGGACCTGAGTTCAAATCTCCAGCACCCAGGTAAAAACCTTGAAACAGTCACATGTGCCTGTAACCCTAGCATTAGTGGGCAGAGACAGGCAGATTCCCCTAGCCAGCCTAGCCCAAACCGTGAGCTTCAGGTTCTGTGAGAGATCCTGTCTCAAGACAGTAATATGGAGAATGAGAGAGGAAGACATCCTCCCATGCACACCATACATATACATACGTGCACACACATGCAGCAAGTAGCCTGTGGAAATGAATCCATAGGCCCAACACACAAAGCACGACTATTCCACAAAGCAGCCATTGCAGCACTGCTTATAATAAAAACAAGAAGAGCAGCAGACACAGCCAGCAGACTTCCAGCAATCCCAAGACAGGCTTTCCACACAGCTACTGAACTGTCTGCTGGAAGGAGGTGTGCAGTCTGTGGCTAAGGACAAGCCGGCTTCAAGTTCAATGCTGGGAAGCATTCACCCACACAGATGGACCTGTGATGGCCTGGCTAGTTTTTACAAACAGGACGCCCCTCTTCAGAGCTGGAATTAACACTGCAACTTTTTTCCTTTTGCCAAACACCACATTAGGAGAGGGGCTAGCTCAGGCCTCTGCCAGTGTGCCCCTCCCTACCCTCTGCAGGACTCAAAGTCAAGTGCAGTACCTTCTGGCAAGTCCCTGTGGGTTCCTGTGGCTTCAGGCCACTAGTCTGGGGACTTGTGCCCTGGTCTCTTTCTCCCCGTCACACGATTGCCCTGGAAGTGGCTGTTTACTTGGAAGCATTCCTTCAGTTCATGCGGGATCTCTGCAGAGCACGGCCTCCTGGAACATCCCAGGAGCCTTACTCTGTCCTGAGTGTGTGTGGGACAGGGACAGAACTCAGCCAGAGAAACAGCTGGAGGGAGGAGAGAGGGGAGGAGCAGGAAACAGGCTGCCGGGGCGGGGGCGCCAGCTGTGTGGATTGGGGCCGCCAAAGGAGGCTGCTCCAGCCCGCCTGGCTGGGCTTGTGGGTGGCAGCGGTAAGCCAGGGATGACCCACCCCTTGGCTGGGAGCACAGCCACAAATGCAGCACATGCAGCCAGGGCCGCTGGGTAAGTTCATCCACTCCCTGACAAGCTCAGGAGCTGCAGTTCACCCTGGACACCTATGGCTGGTTATCTCCCCCGCTTCAGGGTGCCTCACACCCCAAATCTTCCTGCATGCTGTTCCTCCTATCTGGGTGCTATTTCTGCCCCTGTGCGTGACCAGATGACTTCCAGCTCTCTCTTCATTGCTCAGAAGCTGATTCCTCACCCAGGGAAGCCTCCCTGAGATGTTCCTGGCTCCTATCTCACAGCCATCACTGATACCATGTTGTCCTGCCTGTTGGATGTCACTCTTGTTTGGGGAGCATTTTGTTCCCTAGTCTGTCCTCAGCATCTGATAGAGAACCTGTTTTATCAGCTGCATCATCACCATCAGCAGCAGAATTATCAAAGTAGCCAAGAACCAAGAAGGTGCTTGGGTACTCAGCACCTAATCCTCACAGTGCTAGGCACTTGGGAGTTGATCCCCACAGCAGCACTAGGGAGTGGGTATTTTTACATCCTCATTTTCAAATAAGGAAATTGGGGCACCAAAAGGTTAAGTCTCTTGCCCAGCATCACCCACTAGTCGATGGTAGAGCTAGAGTTCCACCAGGCAGTCTGGGTTCCAGCCCTTGACCGCCAGATGAAAGAAATAACAGCCCTCAGTGTGTGTGATCCACACCAAGTGATTCCTCAGAGAATGCCATGCCAACTGCCAACATGGGGGGAGGCATAGCTCACCTGGGTTACAGATGAGGACACTGAGGCCAGAGACAGGAAGCCGTGCCAGGCAACCAGCTCAGGCTGACGGTTGAGTCTGAAACCAGGTATGTATGTGTCCAAAGCCAAGCGGCCTAAAACTACTTATAGATGAGAAAAGTGAAGACAGGAAGGAAAAAGGAGGAATGTAGCAGAGACGGGAGAAGAGGGGACTGGAAAGAAAACAGAAAGGGGAAGGGGAGAGAGGGGAGCAGATGAGAAAGGAGAAAGAGAGGATGGGAGGGAAGAGAAGGGGAGGGGAGGGGAGATGGGAGGGGAGAGGGGGAAGCACCATCTCAACCTGGTCTCAAAGTCTTGGGCAGTTGGGACCACATGTCTCTCATCACCTCTCTTAGTCTGTCTTCTGTGACTATAACAGAATACTCCGGACTGGGTTCTTTATAAACAGTAGAACTTTATTTGGGAGCAGAGAGGAGGGAGACTAAGCTCAGCCGTTCAGTGGAGGCCACTCTGAGATAACCCATCCATCCCTGCAGTAGCGGCATTAGTCCATGCCTGAGCACTGAACTCTTATGACCTAATCACCCCTCAAAGGTCCTACTCTCCACACGGACTAGGGATTAAGTGTCTAGTGCCTGGACCATGAAGAGACACATTCAAGCCAGCCTCAGAACTCATCCTGCCATTCCCAATCCTTAAACTAGTAACTTAAGCTGGTAGAAGCCATCTGCTCTAACCTTTCCGTTTCGCAGATCACAGCTTGAACTACACAGGTTAAGTCATTTGCCTGAGGTCACACAGTTCCCTAGAGGAATCAAAAGTCACACCCAGCCTGCCTGGCTCCAAATCTCTCTCCTCCCACCTCTGCTAGGCTTGTCTAGGAGTCTTCTCTCATTCAAATCCTTTCTGTACAGATGGGGATATTGGACCCAGGAAAGACAAGGACTGAGCCACGGTCACTCAGCAGTTAGTAAGAGGGTGTTCATTCCACAGCACAGTGGGGAATTCTGCACCAACTGCTATGACCATCTCAAGCTCAGCTATTAGTGTCACTCTGTGCTCAAGGCTCACCTCCAGTTCACAGCCTCCTCCCCAGTCAGCTTGCTGGGGAAAGCAAAGCTCAGGACTCCCCACAGATCTGATCTGATAAGAAGTCCAGGCAGTGCCAGGCCACCTGTGTTTCAGCAATTGCTGGGAACTTCTGATGCTGCTATTTGAAAATCACAACCAGTGGATGGAGAGATGGCTCAGTGGCCAAGAAAGTGTATGGCTCTTCCAGAGGCCCTGAGTTCTGTTCCCAACACCCATGTTGGGCACCTCACAACCACCTGTAACTCCAGTTCCATGAGATCCGATGTGTCTTCTGTCCTCCATGGGCACCCACACATGTGCACCCATACCCACACACCCACATGTGTGCATGCTAGAACACAACACACACACACACAGCTAAAAAATAAAATGAATCTTTAGAAAAGAAAGGGCGGGAGGGAGGGAGGGAGGGAGGAAGGGAAGGAGGGAGGGAAAAAGAAAGGAAGGAAGGAAGGAAAAGAGAGAGAGAAAGAAAGAAAGAAAGAAAGAAAGAAAGAGAAAGAAAGA